TTGTGCACAGGATCAGAGTGGTTGGTTTCCTTTTGCCAATCTGGCTTGTTTGGCTTGAGCAGATAGCTATAATGACAAGGGCTCAGCCATCACATTTTTTCATCTGTTATTGGACCATGTGGAAATCAATCATGGTCTTCATCCCCTATTTGGCACCACATGGGACAGCTCTGGCTCAGCTTACCTGTCTGAAGCGTGCTGTTCACATGGGTTTCCCCTGTGAGCCCTGCCTGTTGGGCCAATAAGAATAGAAGAATGTTGTGGTGTGTCTTATGCAAGCTGTGTCTAAGGAAAAGGTCCCAGAAAGAATGCTTCCTTAACCCCATTCTTCAAACCCAGATTCCCTTGAAATGAAGATAGGAAAGGGTCCCAGTGTAGGAGTGCTTCCTTAAACCCCTGCCAGGCATACGGGGGGGGGGGGGGGGGGGCTTGAGGGGCTTCAGCCCCCCCCTGAAATTCTCATGGTGGTTCGCGAAAAGGCCTTATTGGTGCATTATTTAAACTGTTATGTTTATTCATATCATGATCTGATCACCATACTCAATATATCCCATGTGCATGGAGGTATTGGGGTAATGATGCAAAAGGTTTGCTAGGGTAAACCCTCTTTCACTCAGACGCCCCCCCAAAACTCAGCCCCCCCGAACCCCCCCACCCCCGAATCGAAATCCTGGCTATGGGCCTGACCCCTGCCATAAACCCAGGTTTCCCTGACAAACTGAAGGGAAAACATCCCAAACAAGGTATTATCTCAAGCCTTTGCCATAAATCCAGATTTTCTTGAAAAACTGAAGAATAAGGATCTCAGAGAGGGTGATATATTTATTAAAAAATAAATAAAGAGAGGGAAGAAAAAAAGAAGAAATAAGAAAAAAGATAAACAAACATATAACTGAAATGCAAGATGGCTCTAACCTCTTCTAGTCATACTTGTAATGAAACAACAAAGAAAAAATAAAAACGTTATTATTCTGCTAATATATATCTTATTAATAATCCTATTATAATTACTAATCATAACTGCAGTTTGCTATTACATCATTAGATATTATTTTCCTCAAAAACAATATTTATAAATGGTTTCCAGTCTTTCATAAAATCTCCAACGGGCATAACCCTTAGAAACCACATTGATGTGGCCATTTCAACCAATTCAGTAAGTGTAACAATTAATTCTTCCATTGTCAGTTCTTCAGTCTATGACCATGTTTAAGCAAATAATAGTCTCTGTGAGGTTGTCATGTATCAAAAAGTAATCTATAATGTCCAGCAGAAATATTTTTTATTATTAACATTACAAAATCTAGCTTTAAATTTTTTGGAATTGACATATACATTTTAGATCCATAACTTTTCTGTTTTTACAAGGTCCCCATAAATGAAAAAAAAAATAAAAGGACTCTTCTCATCATGACATCTCCAACCTTGCTTTGAATCACTGCAGGACATTTTACCAGCTTTTGGGGGATTTACTGCTATGTATAAATCATCTTATACAGTTTTTGTTTTATAATATTGCACATAATTTTTTTACATCTTTGAATCACATTTTCTTCCATACATCCATATGCACAATATGTCCACAGTGTTGGGTCCACTTTATCTTGTTCTCTTGTACAGGTTCTTCTTCTGTTCTTGATTTCAAAACCATTTACAGTATATACTTTTTAATCATCTTTAAACAACAGTTAATAAAATTAATTTACTGGAGTCTCTAAGTTGCATTTCTCTTATCTTGATTCAATAGGTCCTAAAGCTGCAAATAAGCAAGCCAATTAAGATATTTGATTGCCTTAACAATCATCCCTCTTGATTTAAATCTCCAGCTGTTTTGTTCAAAATACAAAAGATCACAAGCCAGTCATTTCCAATTGTAGCCCATTTTTGCAATGAGGTAGCAAATATTATCTTGAGATAAAGTCTCTGATTGTACCTATACCAATATCATAGGTGAGCCTTTCTCATAAAATTAATCTTACATTCACAACGCACCATAATCTTTTCATGTACTTTCTTGCTTTGAGGTTTCCTGTTGTTTCAACAGCTTTCATCCACTTAGAAAAAATTTCAAGCACTTTATTTATACTTTTGCTGAATCCTTCCCTTATATGTCTTCATTTCCACCAAATAATAGATCATAGGGTTAATGGTGCTGTTTAGAATTATGCTTATGCTGGCATAGATATTAGGCCTGGGTAACAACGGAAAAATTTGTTTCTAAAATCGATTTGTATTTGGGGTGTTTTTTTGTTTCGATATTTAAAATAATTACAAAATTTTCCTTTTAAAAAGTTCGATATTTACGAAATTTCGTAAATGTGAAAAAAATTACAAAACATTAACGAATCGATTTCCGAAACAATAACGAATCGATTCGTTAATGGCGGATGCGACCGCGAAATACGCTAAAAAACCTCCAAAAACTTCTGAAGCTTCCCTCTCCCTCTGTTGTTGACTGTTGGTGTGATATTATAATTTTTTTTCACTAATTAAACAAAAAACTTGCCCCAGACATGCGGAAATAATAACGAAACGACCTCAGAACAATAACGAAACGAATACAATAACGAAATACGAAGCATTTACAAAACGTATTTAAAAATTCGTTTTTTAAAATAATTGCTCCAGAATGGTTCGTTATCGTTTTGTAATTGAAAAAAATTAACGAATTATTAACGAATTACGAATTAACGAAACGAAACCGCCCAGCCCTAATAGATATATACATTGAGGAGGAGGAAGGCAAATGTAAGGAAAATGGCTCTTAAGAGTTTCTCCTGCATCTGTTGTGATGGTTTTAAGCAGACTTTAACAAACATAACCATAGTGCATATACATATGATGGGCATGAGAAATACTGCATTTTTAGAAGAGTGCATATATCCAGAAATTGTAAAGCTGAATATTGACTGAGAGGGTGAAATTTGTAGCAAATGCTAAGAAAGCAAGGATCCTTATGGTGACATACACAGCAGTTGACAAATCTGTTGGCTGGTGGCCTAGGTACAAAAGTGCTCTCTGCTTATGTGCCTCTACTTCTCTGGTTAGCAGAGAATGTGAATTGAAAGATGGCACTATATAGTAAATATAGGTAAGAATGAAAATGCACATAATAACTCAAATAAGTCAGGAGTTATGTGATGAATATAAAAGAGTATTTCTAATCCATTTTCAAAACACTAATGTCAGATTTTAAAAAAACCCTTTAACCAAGGCTCAGTGTCATGGACTGCTCTTCTGATTCTGAGGGAGAAGGAGGACAGGTGGTAGAAGAAGCAGCACTTGGGGATTTGGGTTTTAGCGGTGAGAAAAAAGAAGGAGCAGGAGAGGTGGTAGATATATCAGAAATCCTTATGTTGCTGGAACGTGGAAGAGAGAAAGAGAGCAGAAGCAGATTAGCAAGGCTAGCAGAGAAAATACTGAGCAATCAGATCACGCTCGAGGGACAGCTGTGATGGGAAGTCAAGTGTGCTGTCGCACGCTGGGCCTGTGCATAAGACTGTAGACAGGACATAAATTCTGTGT